AAGGAGGGAAGGAGGGAAGGAGGGAAGGAGGGAGGGAGGGAGGGAGGGAGGGAGGGAGATAGAGAGAGTGGGAGAGAGAGGGAGGAAAAAGAAATGGAACTCATTACCTGACATGTGTAACTGTAACCTTTCTGTACATCGCCTTTATAAAACAATTTAAAAGCTCTAAAAAGAAAAAAAATCAACCTTTTCATTAAAATAACAATAACAACAACAAAATCTATGCTGGGCACTGGTGGCTCATGCCTGTAATCCTAGCAACTCAGCAGGCTAAGTTCTGAGGATTATAGTTCAAAGCCAGCCAGAGCAGGAAAGTCCAAGAGATTCCTAGCTCCAATTAACCACCAAAAAACCAGAAGTGAAGCTGAGGCTCAAGTTGTAGAGTGCTAGTCTTCAACAAAAAAAGACCAGCGACAGTGCCCAGGCCCTGAGTTCAAGCCTCAGTATCAGTACAAATAAATTACTAAGTAGGTAAGTAAATAAATACAACGTTTTTTTTTTTTCCAACACTATATGCTGGTAGGTGGGGGAGCAGAGGCTAGGACTTCAGGTTATAGCCAGGCCCTTTGATCTAAGGATTGAAGGAACACACCCCCATTCCCCTTTTGCTGAGAGCCAGCTAATGAAGGGCTGAAATTAGCTTTTATCCTGCACACTTTCTTGAACAGGAAAACATGCATTAATCAGCTCTCCTCACACATCAGTCATCTGGCTAATGACCTTTTTGCCTTAAAACACCACTGCTTCTGAATGATGTGGGAAAAGGGAGACACAAACCAATCCCTACCCCCTCTCTGTCGCTCAGTACCACATCTGGATTGAGAGCTGAGAAGGTCAAGTGCTAAGTCTCCATCCAGGGAAATGATGTCTCTAATCAAGACCTGGAGCTCTGGCACTTCAGAATGAACTTCATTATCCCACAACCAATTTGTTTATTAGGTTTTCTTTTCTTTCCTTTTGTTTTAAACTATAATCAAACCAGAAATGAAACTCAACTCTTCTATGTTTCGTTTAGATTCTGTCTTTGGAGAAAATCGATCATTGTATACTTGGGCTCAGAATCCTAGTCAATTTCTTAAACTTGTTAGGGCTGGGAAAGCAGCCTCCTGTCTCTGGCTTACTGTTGAGAGAAAAGAATAGGGATCATAGAAAAAAAATCTTCCATATTAACAAATTTAGCATTGATACTTTTGTTTCCGTTGGTAAGTTTGGTTTTAATAAATCATTATTCAACACGGGAACAGCAAAAATCATTAAGCCAAAATCATTAAAAGCTGGGCGCTGGTGGCTCACACCTGTAATCCTAGCTACTTGGGAGGCTGAGATCTGAGGATCAAGGTTCAGAGCCAACACAGGCAGGAAAGTCCATGATATTCTAATCTCCATTTGACCATCAAAAAGCTGGAAATAGAGCTTTGGCTCAAGTAGTACAGCACTAGCCTTAAGTGGGAAAGCTAAAGATCATAACAGCCCCTGAGTTCAAGCCCCAGGACTTGTACTCATGCACATGCATGCACGTGCACACATACACACACACACACACATCACTGAAAATGAGGCATAGCTCCCATTGAGGATTTTTTCTAAAACAACCTTTTTGCAGTTTCCATCCAGCAACTCTCCTCTAGAAGAGTCTTCCCCTTGTGTGAAGCAAAATTGATCCTCAGGAACACCACAAATGGACCACCTTGCTGAAGGCCACTGTAAAGGCCTGTAACCACTTAGATGTATAAGAAAATGTCTCTCTCCAGAAAAGTTATGGATAGAATCAAAAGGGGGGGGGGAACGTGCAAAGAAAAATCATTACATAAGGCCAACAAATCCCTACAGCCTAGATATGTACATACACACTCAAGATACACACACACACACACACACACACATTCTACTCTTTTCCTCCTCAGAATAAGGGCCACTGGCCTGTCCTGACACACTTACGGTAGTGAGGTTCCACATAGCCATTCCTGGGGTCCATGGCAAACACAGTCCCACGGTAAGGGACAGAGGGCTCAGCCAGGTGTGGCAGAGACCCATGGATCTCCTTCTTGATCAACGAAGCTCTCTCATCGCTGGATGTCGATGGCTCCTCACTGAGTTTGCCGAGCCCCTGCTCACTTTGAGGCTGCATTGTGATTGCGTTTCTTCTCTCTCGATGATGATGATGGTGATGGTGGTGATGATGATAGATCTGTCCAGGATTTTCATCCTCTAAAAACAGAGAAAGGAAAAGACTTTAGAAGCCACCTGAAGGCGCACTCAAAAACTACATATCAATTAGCTCTCCTCTCCGTCTCAGAACAGATAGGTCTCTTTCACTTCAAGATAACTTTGCAACCTGGGATAGATTTTGCATACTAAAATTGTCAAGGAATGAGGCTCCCAATTACAAGTGGAGGGTGAAGCAGAAAACGAGCCTGTTACACAGTGACACCAACGGACAAACAGGTGAACAGCTCAGCTGAGGGCTGACTGCGGGCCAGGCTTCCCTCCTGGGCATGCCAGTGTATTTCAGTTCTCACGTGGGACTGAAAGTTTTGCCAGCCTCAGCCTGTGGGGCGTCCGGCTTCCCCTTTGTCTAAGGATCTGAGGAGAAGCCCGGCTACCCAGTGGGGCTCTGGATGGCTCCAAGGGGTGCCTGGCCTTTGTTCCACAGAGAATGATCTATCAGAAAGTAATACAATTGGGTTGGTGGGGCGGGGGTTAGTTTCAAGGATCTGTAAACCACAGCGAGATTTAACAGAGCCGGAAACAACCACAGGTGACAGGAATTATTACAGAACCTCCCAGGAAACATATCCCATTGTCTCTGCGCCACATGGCTATGTGGGTAAGTAGGAAAGGTAAGAGCAGTTTTGCTCAGGTGGAGTTGCTAGACATCTCTCCAACCACATAAGAAACAGCTGGAAGGAAGCCCATGTGGCATGGTATTCCAGAACCCTGGTAGGTCATCCCCTGACAAGAAAACTGATCCATCCACTGGAACCATATGCATGTGCCAAACAAGCTGTGCATTTAGGTGACCTTCCACACCAGCAGAACAGTGCTAAACGACCTGACATTGCCTCCTCAGTCCTTATCCTACAGATCGCCACACTTCCCATATAAATAATACCATTACTGGACATCTTAGTGGGCAACATTCAAACACATCTTTTTATACTTCTCTTCAAGGGAATCCATAAAGCAGATGACTATTCAAACTCACCCCCCCCAAAAAAAAAAACAGAAAAACTATGCGTTAACACTTTTAGAGCACTGTTCAAAGTCACACAAAATTAGAACTGTGCACAGAGTATGTAATTGCAGAAGCTGAAAGAACAACTCTTACATTGTGTTGACTAAGATCTTTAACCACTTAAAACCAGGAGCTACTCAAGTCTTCCTGTCCAGGTGTAAGATTTGAAAAATAAGCAGTGAATTGTTTTAGCCTAGCAAACACTCTGTAAAACAGAATAAGTGATGAGGTAGATTTCAGTCCTTGTAGTGAATCTGCTGACAACTGCAAGGTAACTGTGAGATATTATTTTACTATTGTTTGGTGCAGACCCTCAGCTACAGCCTCATAATTAAATGGAAAATTACAAGTTTAATCTATCAAGCCTCAACTGCAAATGCACCAAAAATAGGCAGAATCCCACATTTTTTTTACATTAATTGTTCCAAAAGCAGTTCAACTCATGATTTTGGTATTTTCAAACTACCTCAAAGCAAAGAGAAAGAGACAGAGACGAGGAGAAAACAGGGAGAGAGACAGAGACAGACTTCATTCTTATTTTCCTTTCTGTCTAACATCTTAAGCACTGGTCCACTTTCTAGTTCATTAGCAGGCTATAGAAAGAGAGCTTTGCCTTAATGGGTAAGCAAACTGGTGTCAAAAACACTAAAACTTTTGTGGGTTTTATAAAAATTCCTATAACCTACAAATGGCTCAAGTCATATTTTCCACTAATTTGTGCTCTGTATAAAACGTTTATTTCAAATTTCCACCTGAAGTGAACTTGGAAGGGGAAAGTGAAGATTGTATGGAAAGGGGTCTGTGTTAGAGGCCAGCCAGCAAGCTCCCTGCCTCCATCCCTCCCGCCCCCTTCTTCCCTACAAGGGGGCTTGGCCATGTAATTAGCATTCTCTGGGAAAGATGAATAGCCAAACCCTGCTAATCTGTTCCAGATTTCAAACAAGATTTCCTTGACTTAATCTACCTAGAAAAAATTCACCTTTCTTCCCTGAGAAACTACATTCTTATTTTAAAAAGAGAAAATAACAATCAGTTCAAAATGATCTTGTAATGAGCATTTGAATCCCACTTTACCAGTAACAGTATCATTGATATCGCCAGACCAAAGTTCTCCCACCCTTAGATACCTCCTCAACCCAACACTTCCTAGGAGATCAAAGTAGGGGGCGGGAGTGGAAACTGGGGTGTCTGTTAAGTGATTTTCTGAGGGGTTGTTTTGGGGGGTTGTGGTATATGTGTGTGAGACAGAAAGAGAGAGACAGACAAACTGATTGAATGACTGACTGACTACTGGGGCTTGAACTCAGGGATCTTGCATGGCTTTTTTGCACAAGGCTAGAGCTCAACCCCTTGAACTACATCTCCTCCTCTGGTGTTTTCCTGGTTAATTGGAGATAAAAAGCCTCTCACCAACTTTTCTACTCAGGTTGGCTTCAAATTTCCATCTACAGATCTCAGCCTTGTGAGTAGCTAGGATTTCAGGCCCAACCTAAGTGATTTTCTTAATGACAGTTACCTCCAAATGGGTGTATTAAAAGTTATACAAGAAGTTACCATGGGGCTGGGAAGGTGGCTCACTGGTAGAGTGCTTGCCTCCCATGCATAAGACCCTGGGTTCGATTCTCAGCACCACATAAACAGAAAAAGCTGGAGTGGCGCTGTGGCTCAAGGGGTGGAGTGCTAGCCTTGAGCTGAAGACCTCAAGGAGAGCACCCAGACCCAGAGTTCAAGCCCCCTGACGGACCAAAAAAAGAAGTCAAAGTTCAAACATTTAATACAGAAAAAAGTTGTCACTTCCTCAGTAAAGTGAAGTGCCAATGGGTTTGGGTTTTTGTTTGTTTTTTGAGGGAACATAGAAACTTTGAATAGATGGTTTGCTTTTATAGTAGTTGGTTCTCTGTCCTTTTTACCCTCTTAAAAAAAAAAAAAAAAGGAAATCCAGCAGGCAAATACTTAGGCATGAACTTAGCTTTGAGGACTGACAGGCTTTGAGGTCCACTGAGATCATAATGTGACAGTATACACTACTGACTACCCTCAGACAGGAGGCTTGAAAACATTCCACATAAGCAAAGCGGCGCCTTTCCCAAGCCATAATATTCCTGCCTGCGCTCAGAAACTTAGCCATCACTTTAGCAATCCCAAAGACCAACGCTGTCTGATCTTCTTCAATTCAGCCAAGCTGCTCAATGAAGTTTGAGGATCAGAGCCGACAAGCTCCGCCAGGCCAAAATTATTGACAGAAACAAGCTGCCTGCCATGGTAACAAGGAGAAGTCCGCTACAAAAATGTAAGCAAACAGCCCAGAGCTCCGGGAGCAAATGCCAATGGACTTTTAACATCCAAACACCAAGCAACTGCTTGAGCTGTTTCTGCTTCACAGTTGCAAGCTCGGGGAGTCAAACTGAACCCCACTCGAAACTTTCAGGAAAAAATTACTTTAAATCCTGTCATCATAATACCACTTGGCACCTCCTACTTTCTGTCTTTCGGGGCTCAAGTAGATATAAATGGATTCCTGTGTAACCACCACCCCCAACCTAGAGCAAAGCATCAGGTTTTAAAATCTGTCCCCAACTCATTCAAAAGCAACCCGGAGTTTGATGCATATGGGGCCAGAAACCTGGTGAAAATCCAAAGCCAGCTCAGGGCTACGATGCTTTGGATGTTTAGAACAAACATCTGAAGAAAGCAGTCACATCACAAGACATGGCAGAACTTGAACACAACACATGGCTTCTTCAAGTCCAGCTCACAGCAAACTTCTAACAAGGAAGAGACGAATTCTCTGCCACAGAGCAAGCGAGAGGGAAAGTGTCAGAGCATCCTTTCTTTTTTTTTTTAACGTAAAAGCATAACCCTCCCAAGAAGCACTGATAGAGATGCTGAATGGGCTGCTTAGAACCCACAAATACACATTCCCCTTTTCTCTCCAACACAGATGTTTAACCAGCCCTTGCAACATCCCCGCTACTCCTCTTTTATTCCCAATCCTGAAGCTATGGAAAAAAAGGTTAAGAAAACAGAAGATACTTACAACTCAGTCTCCAGAGCCAGGCACCCCTAGCTACTACTCAGGAGTCTGAGATCTGAGGATCGAGGCTCAAAGCCAGCCCAGGCAAGAAAATCTGCAAGACTCTTATCTCCAATTAACCACCAAAGAAGCTGGAGGTAGAGCTGTGGCTCAACTGGTAGAGCCTCATACTTAAACGGGACAACAGCTAAGCTCGGGGAGTCAAACTGAAGCCCCAGTACTGGCACACTCACACACATACACACGCACACACACACACACCACCTCAAATCACCAGGTTCTGGCTACTACTTTAGGCACACTTCTTTTGGTGATCTTTCTCTAGCTCTAGGAACATTTTCTGGACCTCATCTGCCTCTCCCTCCTCTTTGTCCTCCCCGCCCCCTCCGCCTTGCCATCCCCCTCCCCTCCCTGCCCCTCTCCCAGGCACTGCAGCTAGGCTCCCATTAGAGGAATTAAAAGTGGTCAGAGCGACACTAAATTTAACAAGCTCATTAGTATTCTTTCCAAGTGCTTAAGAGTGAACTCTCCCCATTCAAGCGGTTCTCGCCAGCAGAAGGGTCAGGCGGCTAATCATTAAATCAAACTAATGTCACCCTATCACAATCGGCCCCAGAGAAGGAGGGTTTATTATTTCAGTTTATGCTAAATAAACGGTTTTACAAATGGTCCCCAAGCAAGGTCAACAGCAGCTTCAATTACAAGACAAACTTAACAAGAGTTGTTCTAAAGCAAGTACTCCTTATTGACAGGGACAAGGCTAGGCTCCACAGATGGCCCCTAGCAGGATTGTACAGAAATGCATATTGTAAAATAAAGGAAGAGGTGAGTTTTATTTTATTTTATTTTGCCAGAATTTGCGACTGCATAACGATTCTTCATTCACCTCTCTCCAACCAGCTAGGGGCGCAGCTCAATTCACCCCACACAAAGGCTGGA